AAGGGTGTAGGTGTGGATTAAGAGGAGACTAATATCCTCACCTCTTCTTGTCTAATGTTATTATTTAAAAATAAACAAAAATACTATTATTGATTGTGTTTCTAAATTAAATTTTAATAAGCAAGTACTAATTCTTGGAGTATTCCGTTTCGTACCCTTTAACTTGTCGACAAAATGGGAAAAAAAATATTTGTCGATCAATCGACAAATTTCTTTAGTTGATAGTTATAATAACAGACAACGACATTTACATTTGACAATCAATTGTTATAACAACATCAACGCAAAATTTACTCTCCAACTATTTTGGATATAAACAAGTTATTCTGTCAGTCAATGAAAGTTCGACAATATTAAATTGACATTCGCGGTTCAAGCATTTCTTGTTGGAGCCGAATGACTTTGTCAAAGGGTTTGGTCCCATTTCATCGACATATTTTATTTAGCAGTCTTTTATGAATAAAAAAATTACAGAAAGTTATTCTAATAATAGAAATGAGAAAATAAGACAATAATCCATACAGGTAGTGACAACAAAATCTTAATCTTATTAAAATATTCATCTGATGACAAAAAAAAATTTTTTTTCATATCGTTTGATTAAATAACTAATTCGTTAATTCGAAAAAATAAATTTTCTATTTCGTGAAAGCTTGCACATGTTGTTGTCAAGTTGCATCATCGTAGTCGTGTGGAATGCATAATCTTTCTTTAATTCATCAATCAATACATATAAGTTTGGACGGAGGGGGAGGGGGTGCAAGCCAATATTTGCATTAAGTTGGTGGTGTCAGTCCTCCAATCTGATTGCATGTAGGAGTAGAGAAGTATAATACTTACACCCACATCCTTGTTTTGACCTTTCTACTGATAATGAGACAAGAAAATAAAAAATTCTATTAATAGAACGGGAAAATACTATATATGTTTATTATCCAACAATGTGATCCTATGATCAAGTTATTATATCACCTACATTAAATCGAAAAATGTTACTATCAATGCAAAATTCAACTTCTGATAATACACATATGAAAATAACTACATTTTCATAGACGAATTCAGCTTCAAATACATATTACCATCCATACATGCATATTCGATGATAACATCGAAATTCAATAATTAATATAAAATTATAATGACTGTATATGATAGACGGCCTAATAATTTATTTAATAAGATGATTTCATGTTTGATTTTTATGATTTTAGCTTTTTTTTATTATTTGTATTTATTTAAAAAGTTTTCTTTTTTCGGGTTTACATATATTCGAGATGAGTTTATGCTTGTTTATTCTTTAGCTAAAAATTATAAAAAAGAAAACAATTTAATTTCATATTTGCTTTATAAAACAAACTTACACGCTGTTTTTGCAGTAAATTTTGATAAATCTTTGAGATTTTTATCTTCAGTATTTCTATCTTCGACAGCCCATTGTTGACGTTGCTAAAACATAATTATGTATAAGATAAAGTAAACTATATTCAAGAAAACATACTTTTGTAATTGCCTCATTACGATCTTCACCTACACCTGCTGCTAAATGTTGTTTAGCTGCTGCTTCCATACGAGCTATTTCACTACGAGAATAAGAAGAATTTATTTAATGTGAAGCAAAAAAACAAGAAAAAAAATTTCTTACGCCTTTCGTTCCTTTTCAATATAAGCTTGTTTATCTTTAAGTGCTTTTTCTTTTAATCTATCAGCTTGTGTTTCAAGTTTCGTACCAAAACTTTTTGCTGTTTCGTCGAATACTTTCATAGATTGAATATTTTCTTCCATTTTAGCTTGATTACGTCGTTTGACATCGTCATCTCGACGTTGTTCACGTTGAATTCGTTCTTTTTCACGTTTTTCTATAATTTATTTGCAGGCGAAAAAAAAAACAAATAATTTTTCAAGATAAAAACAAAAAACAAAAAAAGATACATACCACTATTTATTTTTTTTACTTCTAATAATCGTGTACGAATACTTTTACGTTCGTCAGGATCTTTTGCTGCATTGAACTGTATATAAAGAAAAAAATAAAAATAAAAATCAATAAATTTAAATAAAGAAAAACAAAAAAGAACCATTTTTTGAAGTTCTGCTTCATCTTCAATAGAATTAACCGATGCCATTTTCGTTTCTTAAAAGTCTACTAATAATGATGGGTTTGTTGGTTTATGTGTGTAGAGGGACGTTTGTTACTCGTCAGAAAGTAGAATAAATACTACTAGTTCTACTAGAGAATGTATAGTCTGATTATCCGTTATGATAATACAACGACGCAATTGAGAGAAAAGGAAAGCTTTTCCTTGGCAAAAAAAGCCGCGACCAAATAACTTGTTGTACAAGAATAGCACAACGAAGATAGAAGAACAGCACAGTATCAAAGAATATAGAAATGCGTAACCTAATAGATGCATTGATACATTGGGATTGATATTTCCAAAAGTGTATATGTTTTTTTCATGTGTCATTACTATTTCTATAACGACAATAAAAGACTTGATTTAATATTACAAAATAAATAAATAAATAAATAAATAAACCATTTGATTGAGAAAATATTTTTTGATAATATGTTGATAATTTATGAATGTTTGAATTTTATTTTCGGAATGATGAAATAGGACATTTTTTTTTCTTTAATCAACAAAAGAAAACAATACATTAATATTTCATCCATTGGTTAAAGATTTCACGTGCACATCTGAAGAATCTATTCTTTAAAAATTAAAAATATGTTTGCTTACTGCAATTAGAAAAAAATCAAAACGAATACAAAATACTTATTTCATCATATGTTTAAATTTTTCTATGTCATGCAAAGTTTTTAATCGTATATGCAGAGAATTTCGACATACGAAATATTTCTTCTAGTAGATATTAAATAGTTTATTTCAAATAAGAAAATATTTATTCATTCAAAAACTTTCATTGATATAAAATTATGCTGCAAAATTTCTATAAACATAAAAAATATTTTTTTGTAGGTTGCTTCAATACTAACAATGAAAGGTTGTATACTGTGAATTAAAGAAATTCATTATATTCGAGTCAAATGAATATTCTCACTATCAAACTAACCCTTTTAAAATATGAACTGTTCATGGTGTGTATAGACTGAGATATTCGAATTTCAAAGCATTTATAGTCAATGTCATGCGCTCACACTAGAATTCGTCTGGGTCTGAAATATTCACATCTGACACCCTGCAGTCTCTGAAAAATATGTAGGATATGCTAATCACTGAATCTAAAAAAGTCGGAAAAAATATCTCGTATTTTCGGGGCAATTATCCAATTTCGATTAGAAAATTTCATTGAGCGTATCAAAGTACGATTCAACCGGGTCCGGATTCGAAAATGTTGGATTCGACGGACTCTAGTCTACACTTCAAAATTTCAGTAGCATTTATTTTTCATTTTTTTTTGTCATAGATTGGATAGAAATCGACGAGTTACCAGAATAAAAAAAAACAATATTACACGTATTCAAAAGCCATTTTATGAAAAATCCAAGATACCATTATTGTTAAATATACGAATAATAGACACAAAATTCTAACTATTGTAAAACTGCTTTTGACTATGTGCAATATCGTTTTCTTTTTGATCTCTTATGTAACTTGTCAAGCTCTATCTAACCATAACAAAAAAGAGAAAAATAAATGCTGTTGAAATTTTGAAGTGTAGCTCCATGACATAGACCGTATATTCATTGAAATTGGAATATTTCGATCCATGCAGGCTATAGACAGTTCATATTTTAAAATAATTAGTTGGGCAGTGTGAGTGAACTTACAGTACACGACCTTCAATTATAGGTCAGTTTTTGTTTATGTGAGAACAATTCGTATCCATGAATCCTTACAGATCCATTTTGTCAATTCGAGCACAAGTTTGTCATCATTTATATAATATATCGATCAAATTATTTTCTCATAAACCAATCCATTTATTACATGAACATATATTCTCAAATATTCTATTTTCAAACATTTATGTAATTTAAAGCCCTTTATTGATTTCACCATCATTCATTTTATTCAAAATATTATTATCAGGTCTGCAGACATGTTTGAATGTTTTTTTAAAATCAACGAATGAAAAAAAACAAAATTCTAAATCAAATAAATGCCATTTTTTTTCTTTTTCTCTCTCATTAAAAGAAGTCTGAAAGAAGAAAAAAAAACTTGAAAAAGCACTTCCATTATTCGATTTGCTGAGTTGTTGTGCACCCTGCGGATTATACAAAAACAAACAAAACATAAAACATTCGGCATCTGTGTTTTTTTCTAGGGTGCAAATAAAAAAAAGAGAGAAAAACGTAGGAGAGGGGTATGATTACAACAAAAAAGAAATAAAATTTAATACAAAGGGCAACTAACTCTTCAGTAAGTATAAACCCATTAGTATGCTCGAAAGTAAATTTTTATCTTGAGTGTATTAGTCTTTTCAATTAATTTTTTGTATAGGTGAAAGAACGTCTCAATTCAAAATTCTTTATATTTGTTCTGATCGACAAAAAAACTAGTAAAGAAGTAAGAATTTGCGATGAAACAGCGATAGAATACATTAGGCTTAGTTGAAAATAGGTACGTACGAGACAAAGCCGTTTTTTGGTGTCCAATCCTCATTATAGTCCCGGCAGCTTCTTTTTTAGTACTCCCAGTCTAGAGAAAACATTTCCAGAATTTATTTTTATCACATCGAAAAAATTCTTCAATACTAGTTTTTGATTTATATAGTCGACGGAATTATATTCTGATGGATAAGATTTATAAGATAATTCACACTTAAAACTAAAGAATAATTTAACTATAATCTTTCAGTTCCAATCACAATCTCAACAATTACTCTTTTCCATAGTTTCACACATCTGTAATAGACGAATAGTCTTATTCTCGCTATTGATTGAAAATCATTGTATTTTTAAAAATTAAATTTTAGATTACAATAAAAAAAACAACAAAAGAATCTCTATAATTTATTTGTCATATACAACAATGAGTAGTAATTCAAATGATGTCTTTGGTGATTTTGCTAATTTTTTTAAACAACTTTTTGCATTGGATACACCCGATCAAATAGGTACATTTTTTCAACAATATTGGTATGTTTGGTTAATCATATCGATAGGTGTTGTTGCACTTATTGTAGTGAATACACTTATATGTTGTTACTTCTGTCATCATCGAAAATTAAATGAAATTGATCCAAAAACAGGTGAAAAACGTTTACATAATAAAGATTGGGGTATTGCCAAACCAACACAAACATTATTTGTACCAATTGAACGAAATTCACAAGAAGATGTAGAAAATCCATTAATGATTGATGATTATGATGATTCAAAATTTTCTGTTGAAGCATTAATGTCACATAATGCATATCGTATACAACATGGTGCACCACCATTACAACAAAATGAATATTTAAATAAAGCAGCAACAGATTGGGCACGTCAATTAGTTAACATGAATCAACTTAAGCATAGTCCTGATCAATGGAGACGTTATAAAGGATCAGTATTAGGTGAAAATTTAGCTTATTTTATTGGACCTGTACTTAAAGGTGATCGTCTTACTGAAACATGGTATCGAGAATCCCAGCGACATGATTTTAATGCTGATTTACAAGAAAATAGTCTTCATTTTTCACAATTAGTTTGGAAAAGTACAAAAGAAGTTGGTTTTGGTCGCTGTCAAACACAAGATAAAAAACAATGGTAAATTTTATTGTTTTGTTTGCTTGTTTTTCTTTTAAACAAACCGAAAAAAATATATTTATACGTTTTTTATTTAGGTATGGTGTTGCACTTTATTATCCACCTGGTAACTTTCCAAATCAATATGCAGCAAATGTACAAGCTTTGAGTCCACTTGAAGAGTATCGTCTTGCTTAAATATCAATAAAAAAGAAAACGTATAATAATCTCATTTTAGTTGATGATTGATATTTATTTTTATTTTTATTTTTTGATTTTTGTATATAAAACAAAAGTTGAGAGATAACAAACAATTTCTCATTTTATAGTAAAGAAAAAGTTAACAAAGATCAGTTGTTGAAATAAATAAATAGTACATATGTTTTTGTTTTTTTTGAAAAACAAAAGAAAGAGGTGTGGGTGTGGTAGACAAGAAAATCCAAACACTCACCATGCATTCTCAAGACGTCAGATCAATTCGTCAGGCAATCTCTTTAAATAATAAAAAGCTTTTGAGACGTGACTTGTGCCATTAGATAGAATCCAGTGAGAGTAAGCAAAACTTATAATGATTCTTCTCTATGTACGACTAGTGATAATCTTTCTGAATTTCTAATTTAGTGTAGAGTTTGTCATAAAACAATCCAATGTTACCATTTCGACCTAAACTTTCACTCATGAAGAAGTATTATAACATTGATCACACAGAAATTTTCATTTAAACCTAATGTATATTTTTTTTACTGCGATAACAAATATTCCCGATGAAACTTTAGCTGTATAATTAGTGTCATAAAATCTTTTTATGAGCAAAATTTTATGTCGAAATAATGACATTAGATTTTTTGTAATGACATACCTTACAAACTCAAAAAAAAAAATCGTCAAAAAGAAGCCGACCACGGGACGAATCATATTCTGTGTTGCCTATTCTCATTAGATCCTATCTAACGACACATATCTCTTGTCAAGAAGCTTTTTATCACTTAAAGAAGTTTCTTCGTCAGTAATCAAGGAGAACAACACTCCATGTAATAAAAAATGAAGAAAAACTACCGGTTTACCACGATTTTATCGGTTCGGTTACGGGCTCCAATTACCGCGGTTAACTGATGCTTCTGTATAGTTATCCGGCGTCGTTTGATTCTTTGTTTCGTTAATATTTGTAGTTAAATTTAACAGTTATATTTCAATTAACCTAATTTTTATTTCAATCACAAACAAAAATACAAACCGATGCAAAAAAAACATACATAAAAAAATAAACACAAAACACCTAATCTTACAATATAAATATAAAAGAATTAATCTAAAAAAACTAAGTATTAAAAGTTTTAATATAAAAAAATATTAATTCTCAACTGAATCTCGTTATTGTTATATTAATTCTATTCTCTAAACAAGCAAGTAAACGAAATAAGTGATGCGGCAGACACGCACATGTATATATACATGAGTTTTTTCGTTCTGCAGCCGTTCGCTTTCTGATAGTTCACCGGAAAAATTATCGGTGAACCATGGTTAACCGGTGAAATTTATAACAATCTGCAGTATCAGTTAAAATCGACGATTTTGACAATTACCGCGGTTTACCGCCAAAAGTAATCCGGTTTTTGTGACATGGGACTTTTCAATCTCAGTTGCCTGTGGTGGCTCCATCAAACTGATTGTCTTTTTTTTGTCGTTTGCTTCACTTTAGGAAACATATAGCTAGTAGGTGTAGAACTACCTGACTCAAACAAATCTCACTATCATATAAAAAATAGATGGTCATTTTTAATTTCTTTTGCGGACCTTCATGTCAAATAAAAATCGAGTGCTACGTTTTTGTTTGAATTAAAAGAGAATCCATATAGACCGATGGGTGTGTGTGTAAAATTGATTATTCTGAGATGCCCTGCAAGACAAAATTGTTTTTGTTCATACTGTTTTTTATTCCTATAACAATGATATTATTTGATCAAAAATATGCTTAGTGAAGTGAATTGTTGTATATGTTTATTGATATAAAGATTATCTGTTATTGTTAAGTAATGAAGTTTTGAACAAATCGACTATAACATCATCTCAAATCTATACTAGAATTATGCCTAATTATTATAAGTGAAGTAGTTTGATTGTCAACAAGACCTGTGTTCGTATTGGTGTTCAGCTATTTTGTCCATGTCTAACGACGATAAATAACCGTGTTCTGTAATCAAAGTTAACTGTTAATTCTAATACACTGCGCATAATTGTCAATCAATATCACCGATATGCAGAAACAGAATGCCTATTAAATAAATCATTACTATGGCCAAATTAATCTAATAAAATGCTATGATGTACAATTATCTATCCTTTCTATTAAAATATTGAAAATGCCAATAGTATATTTCTGTGATTACTTTTACAGTGTGTCTTTTGAAACTATTATGTACCATAAAGGAATAACCGTCATATAAATTCTATGGTGCACAATAACATTTAACTGATCTTAATAGTAATAATTTAAATGGTAAATGAAATCTGTTTTTCATGTACCCATATCGTACAGAACGGCTCGTAAACTGCCTTAAACGACTTGAAAACGGTGAAAAACGGCTGCCGTTACGATGATCGTTTACGGTTTGCCGTAAAACGGAGAAATACGGCGATAAACGATGATCTTTACGGTGATCGTTTACGCACTAGCGGAAACAATTGTCGTTATGACCGTCGTTTTTTTGCCGTTTTCACACCGTTTTTCATCGTATCAAAAGATGTCCTAAAATCATCATTAGTCACTTTCTAATGATCTATAATTGATTGGTCATTACGTATTTTAAAAAAATTATATTTTTTTTTATTCAGATTCTTTTCACCATCTAGTTCAACTGTAAGTATTGTATTTGAATAAATATATTTATTTTTTTATTTTTATTTAGATTTATCTCAATGGAATATTTAGTAGTATTGAATTGAAATAAATAAATATATTTTTTTTATTTAGATTTTTCTTAATGAGATACAAAACAGTAAGTATTTTATTTAAATAAATACATGTATTTTTTTTTAATTAGATATATTTCATCGATATGTTCAATAGTAAGTATTTTGCTTAAATCTATTTATTTTTGTTTGGATTTATTCCAACTAACTATTTAACAGTAAGTATTTTATTTAATTAAATAAATTTATTACTTTTTTATTTAGATTTATCTCATTAATATATTCAATAGTAAGTGTTTTGTTTAAATGAGTATATATATTTTTTTTCATTTAGATTTCTCTCATTGAAATATATAATAGTAAGTATTTCGTTTAAATAAATTTATTATTTTTATTTAGATTCATCGCAACGAAGTATTTAATAGTAAGTATTTTGTCTAAATAAGTATATTTTTTTTCATTTAGTTTTCTCTCATTGAAGTATTCAACAGTAAGTATTGTACTTAAATAAATATATTTATTTTTTTATTTAGACTTATCTCAATGAAATATATAGTAGTAAGTATTTTAGTTAAATAAATAAATAATATTTGTTGTGTTTACGAAAGGTGAGGAGAGGACGAAATATTGTGCTGCTCTTCACTGAGGACAGACGGCAAAAGATATATAAAGTCGTAAACGAGAAAAACCGGTGTAAATAAGACACTATAGGACGAAAATACTGCCATAATACTACTCATCGTTGCTCGCCGGAAACGGCCTTAAACGGCGTCGTTTACGTTCCAGGGAAAAACGGCCCTCAATCCGAGCTGACGGAAAACGGTGAGAAACGGCGATCGTTTTTCATCGTTTAGGGCATTAATTACGTCGTTTTTTCACCGCTTTAGGCATTTTAAGACGTCGTTTCAGACGGCCTGAATGATGGACCTGGGTATGCTAATAATTATGTCAAACTATTTAAATTTTGCGTTAATTAATTTAGGCACAAAGCACACTTACTCCTAACGATAGAATGTATAGATAGCTTCGTCAAATTTCTAGATGTGAGAGAACTGTTCGATCGGATTAATTCTTTTCGAAAGCACTATGAAAATTTGTTCAGTTCCTATTAAAAGAATTATTCCAACAATATATTGACACAATTAATGTAAGCTTGTTAGCTTGAACTGTTACAAGTCTAATCAACACTTCAGTGCCTTACATAAAATTAATTTCGTACTCCGATGTTGCATTTATCTCTTTGAATATAAACGAACAAGTTAGCAAATAGAGTTATCATCTTTATCTATTCACCTTGTTCGATTGTTTATCATGATCCATTTCTTCACTCTCTAAAATGACAACAGTGAAATTAAGTGAAAGTTGGTCTCAAGTTTTGCGAGATAAAGTTGTGTTTATAACGGGTGGTGGTGGAGGTATTGGTTCTGCTATTGCTCATACATGTACACTGCATGGTGCTCAAGTAGTAGTATCTGATATTAATAAGGCAGCTGCCGATAGAGTAGTGGCCGACATTGTTGGAAGTCAAAATGAAGGTTCAGATCGAATTATAAGTTTAGAACTTGATACAGTTGATGAACAAGCAATTGAACAAGCAGTAAAAAAAGTAGTTGATAAATGGGGTACAATTCATGTACTCGTCAATGCGTACGTACGAATAATATATTCAATCGAAGAAAAATCAGAGTAGAAATTTTTTCTTTTATTCATATTTCTATTGTTAAGAATTAAATTATCAATTATGTTAAATTTTAATTTGCGTATTTTGTTTATTTTTAGTGCAGCTGATTTTACTTTGGGTTTAATTGAAAACGTTTCAGCTGATGCTTGGTCACATATTTTTAATGTTAATGTTCGTGGTTATGCGTTGATGATTAAACATATTGTATCTTTACTCAAAGAACAACGTTCAGGTTCTATTATTCAATTTGGTAGTATAAGTGGTTTAATTGCTCAAGCCGGTTTTGTCCCATATAATACTACGAAAGCAGCTGTAATACAAATGACACGAAATTTAGCACTTGATTTGGGTTCATATAATATTCGATGCAATTCTATTTCTCCTGGTTGTATTGGTATGTTTTTTTTTTCTATGAACTATTGCTTTGTGATTTTACAGTGGCAAGCATAAGTTTAGAGCAGTTGTATTTTCAAATTTTTATCTCGATAGGAATCGCTAGCAAGAATCTTAAAAAAAAATTGTATAGCTGAAAGAATTCTCTGTGACGATTGATAGACCATAAGACTTCAGCGAAGTACTTGAATGAGAGTCTGCAAGACTTCCAAAAGCAGACTTTTAGCTTCCATTCGAAGCTGTTAGGAAAGATTTTATTTGATAGAGAAAATGATACATCTCGGATCTCTCTATGACCTTTCTTCATTGAACTGCATTTCATTTACAGAAGATGCACGAAGCATTTTTCTCTTGTTTTTATTGAAAATTTCAATGTTTTTGCCATGTTTGACGCTTTCTGTAAACTGAATACAGTTCGATGAAGGAAGATCATGAAGAGATCAGAAATCTATCATTTTCTCTATCAAATAAAATCTTTCTCAAAAGCATCGAATGAAAGCCAGAAAGTTGGTTTTCGGGGTTTTTGTCTTCGGAAGGCCTTCATTCAAGCAGATTTGCTGAAGCTTTCGGACCTACCAATAGAGCCTATTGGGTTCAAGAATTTTTGGGCGGTACCCGAGCCCGACTGATTAAAATTTGTTGGAACTGGACTCGGTCGATAAAATTTTTTTGCTCTAAACTTTTGTCCGCCACTATATATATATATATGTCGGTTATATTATAGAAACACCACCAATTATTCAACTGGCGGCTTCGAGAAATTTAACAATGAAACAGTTTGTTCAAAATCGAGCAGACACTCAATGCATAAAGCGTATAGGCACACCGCAAGAAATAGCAAATATGGTTGTTTTTCTTGCTTCGGATTTATGTCCATTTATCACTGGTGCTAACTTAACAGTAGATGGAGGTTATACTACTATTTAAGATAAACTTCATTACATAATCATCGTCAAAATCTACTAGTTAGAAATAAAGATTTTCTTTTGTTTGATATTATAATGAACTCTATCAATAAAATAAAGGGTTATAAATTTTATTTTTCATTTAAGATTAGACGTTTTTTCAGAATTATCTTGGAAAGCATAGGAGATATAGAGTGTGCGTATGGTCATGTTTTCTCGGCATCCATACCAAGTGTGATGCTTTAGATGCTTGTCGTCACTTGCGTTCATGCAACGTCTTCTGTACTGGTATTTAATTGAGTTTTTGGAGGATATCCGTTAGAAGACACCACATGGTTTTAACTCACCTTGCAAATACGCACATCTCTTCCAAGGAGAGTGTTGCGAAAAGTCATTCACGAACTTCAGATTGAGATTGGGATCGAAGTAAAGTTTGAGTGAGAGTAGAACGTGATTAAAATGTTTTTTTAAAATTTTTAAAGATATGAGAAAGGTGTTGAGAAATTACATATAGACGAAAGTTGAATTCAACTTTCAAGTTTGACACTACTGGATAAATAATTGTTGTTTATTCTTACTGTTGTGATAGAAAATAAAAAAAATTCTACATTAACTTGAACTTGTTTTTTTAGTAACTGAAAAAAAAGTTGATCAAATAGAAACATAGAATTTGAATCTTATTTAGTAAAAAAAAAAAGTCATAAAATTGTTTATTTATTTTCAATATCCTTAAGTTTTTCATTAATAATTTTCTCGGTATAATCCCACCATTGACGAGCTATATCATCATCTTCTACATATTTATTACCTACTGATGTTGGTTGACAATCAGCATGATAAGAACCTGGTTTAGCATTATCTGATAATGCACAATAAAGATTTGTTTGTGTTCCTTCTAATGGTGTTTTAAATAACAAACATCTTATTGGTTTTGCTAATGTACGCATAATATTATTAATACTCATATGTCGATCTAATTGTGTGTTGACACTACCGGGATGTAATGAGTAAGAACGTATTTTATGTGATATGGAATAACGTCGTTGAAGTTCACGAGTAAATAAAATATTTGCTGATTTACTTAATGAATAAGCAGACCATCGATTATATGTATTTGGATTACACATTTGAGTATAATGAGCTGTATCACAAGGTACTCGCCATAGGGCATGAGCAAGTGAAGAAACATTAATAATACGTGATGAATAAAGACGTGGTAAAAGAAGTTGCGTAAAATAAAAATGACCAAAGTGATTAGTACCCATTTGTAATTCAAATCCATCTTTTGTTTTCGAATAAGGACAAGCCATAACACCAGCGTTATTAATTAAAGTTGTAATCGTTCTATTTCTATATATTAATGAAAGCATAAGAGAGAAAAGAAAAACATAAATGAAAACAAACTATACATACGAATCTTCATTTCTCATAAATTCTTCAACACATGATTTTATTGATTGTAAATCAGATAAATCAAGTACATAACCAACAACATTATCTGGTGATCGTGCTGCTTTTTTCACATCAGCAACAGCTTCAACTAAATTTCCTCGACGTGCAAAAAGAATTACTCGAGCACCTCGTTTTGCCAATTCAATTGCTGTTTCTTTTCCAATTCCACCAGCAGCACCCGTAATTAAAAATGTTTGTCCTTCTAGATCAATATTTTGAATATCTATATACCGACCACCTCGAGCCCACCATCTCATAAGAAGAAATACAGCCGTAAAATATAATAAAAAATATAAATAACTTGCTGATATCCATGTCCATATGAATGATGGCAAAAAAATAGAATAAGCCGAAAGAATTAATATAAGAATTGAAGAAACGAATGTTAGCAACGATTGTACTTCTGGTTGACGAAGTATAGTTACAAGCATCTTTATGTATTGAATAATTCTTGACAGAGAACAGAAGTACGTACATATTGTATAACGTACATTTTGTATCCAGTACAAATGAATCAATATGACTCTACGAATAATAGAAGATTTTAATTATTGATTATCTTTCTTTTTGAATAATAAAAATCGATAGTTGATTTTAATGATTGACTTTAGAAAGATTGTTTTTCCAAATCTTTTCACTAGCGACATCTATCGACATACTATGGATTCTATCCTTTTTTCCATTTGTGAGAATATTTACAATTAAACTTCGTGAATTGTAGTTCTGCATCAGTATTACAATGATATCCAGATACTATTTTTTGATCTGAGCATGTTTGAGAAGACGATTTGAACCTTAGATTTATTGCTAACATGACTCTCCTAATCAAAGTTTTATTGACTACTTCTTAATCAAACATGAAGATACATCAAGTTTTCTTACTCAGATCAATGTTTTCAATTTACCGTAAACAACCATTTTCATGCTGTATTGTGTCATTATAACCTACTCAGTATTACTGACCGTATACAATATTGTACTTTCACTGTAAAAATTCGTAATTAGAGCCCATCAGATCCAAGAATTTTTGGATCCGGACTAGATCAATCAAAATTATTGGATTCGGATCTAATTGATTGATCTTTTGTGGGTAGAACCTATCGAGTTCAAGAATTTCTGAACCCGAACTCGGTCGAGTCCGAGTAGGATCCGATGAGCTCTAGTCGTAATGTCGTCGTATCATTGATCCTGTATTTACAGAGGAATATGGTCCCGTTAACATGCCGTATTATTCCATCAGGGTAATACGTATAGATATTTTTCGATTTATTTTTTCGTCAATCTAAAATAGTCCTCGCTCTTTGACTTTGAGGCTTGCTATATTAAATATATTATATGAAATCATATAATAGCATATGTTATGATATTATTTTTGATTATATCAACAAAAGAAATCTTGTCATATATTGCCGTGTGCTTAATGTCGTCTATTCATTTTTTCTTTTCTTGATGTTTAGTATAGTAAAGAAAAAACATTTTTCTTTTCTGTCTACTCATTGCACTATGACTTTCATACTTTTCGGTTGTTTCTCGATCTATTCTTGTACGAAAAATCAAGTAACGAGTTCATTATAATTTCTTGTCCAACAACAATGATAATAGCATCGATTTCTTATAGTACATGACTCTTTCTTAATCTCGAATATTTTAATTTTTTCATCTAATAGAAATTTTTTTTTTCTTATCATAATTCTCAATATTATTAATCTTCAAAATGCCATTTAAAGTGTGTGTATAAATTCGTTGACATTAAACAGACCAATTTGTTTTTGTTTAGATTCACCGAAATTTTTTTATCGTGTATAAACATGTTTCAGACTAAGTTGATATTTAGATAAAATTAAAGAGAGTTTTTAAAAGATTTATAAACCAAGAGAAAATCGAAAAAGATTAGAGCCCAAGTCAGCTATTCCGACGCTTGAATTCAGTGGCCGAATTTTTCTATGGACTCCTACTTCCAAGTTCCTACCGTTTTCCAGCCAGAAAACGGTTCATATTTCTTCTCGAAATAGAGAAGTGAAGTTATGTTTAACTTAAATTGCAGTCTAGTTAGATCTAAAAGGTTGTAGAATTCGTCAGTTGAATATATTTCCTTCATTAGCAATTATACTTAAAGTATGAATATGCTATATTGTTAAGTTTTATTGAGTTATGTTTCAACCGAAAAATAATGAAAGACTTTTTAACTTATGTGTTCGTTGTGGTAGAATAATGTCTTCTCTTGAAATTTGATGCTTTCAAACAGCATTTTCTGATATCGATACACAAGAAGTCATTCATGCATACATTAAAATATGAACTAATGAAAAATGAAAATTTATTTTTCAATAAAAGCGCCTGATTAAAAACAACATAGACACATTCATTCATTTACATTGAATCTTTTGATTTGTCAACGGCAACAACTATGAGCGACCCTACCCTACCTACCTACTCGCATGGACATATTATTGGTTATTTATAAAAACAAATAACAAACGAAGGCATCTAGTGTCGCTACAATCAATATAATTAGTTTTATTTCATCATTCATTTAATATTCTAGAGTAATGATCATTACTCATCATATCTATTTTTGCTACATACAGAGTGTTTCAAAAGTTCGGTCGGACAGTCAATTCAAGTATCTCTTATACAACTCAAGCAATTTGATTGATTTTTTATAATATGTTAGTACGTTCTCTAAAGTTTTATTTTGTATATTTTTAGGTAAATGTCTGTGCCTATAAGCATTAGAATTAAAATAGTTTTATTAATGGTCGAATTTCAGTCACCTATCTTAACAATAGTCTGGAAGGCCATCAAAAATTACAGAAGAAAAAATCGGCGAAGTTTATTATAATTGTGAAAATATGTCACTATCAAATGTTCGGGTCATTACAGCAGTTTGTTTCATTCCATGAACAATAGTAGACCGAATTATCACTGAAATATCATCTAATGAACCCATACAAGGGATAATTTGTCCTACAACTTCATAAAGATGATTCACAAAATCGAGTTGAAATTATATCGCATTGATACGCAAGTTATAAAATATCCACAATTAGGAGAGCTCTTTTTCAGACAAAGTCTCTTTTCATTTAAATGGTTTATCGATAAATATAAAGTGAAGACCTATATGTTTAAAATACATATAAAGATTTTGTTACATTCAAAATAAGAACCGATAACAAAAAGAAATTAATTCGAAAATAAACTTCCTACAATTTTTTTTTTATAGATTTCGGCAACGATAGATTTATGTATTTCAGTTGATGGTAATCATTTTGAACATTTGTTGTAGATTAAATTATGTGAAATAAGACTTTAAAGAATATATTAACATATTATAAAACAAATTTAATCAAATTGCTTGAGATGTATAAGAGATATTTGGATTAACTTTCCGACCGAACTTTTGGAACACCCTGTATATATTCATTTCAAGTAGATTTATTTAATAATTTTCTTTTATAGATTTAATAAAAGAAAAATGTTACCTTTACTTGCTCGTTTATCAACAATGCGTTTAAATTCATCAGCATCGCTTCGAATATTGAAGCGAACTCAATCAATTGCTGTTAATCAACGATCAGCAAATCGGCAGCAACAAGCACTTATACGAGGAGGAATAGCTCTTGTTGCTGTTGGTGGTGCTGGATATTTACTTAATAAAGTAAAAAGAAAAAAATTTGAAAGAAAATTTATCTATTGTTTTTCTTTTCTATTTTTTGTAGGTTCTTAATAGTCCAACTGTTGCTGTACCAGGTGCTATAACACAACCAAAACAAATGTCATTTGCTGATGCAGTTGAAGCTAATCGAGCTTTTTCTCCTGTTGTTAAAGAACATTTACGTTCAACTTATGCTCATTTTGCTGGTGGTCTTGCAATGACAGGAACTTTTGCTTATATTTTTCATCGAACTGGATGGTCAGCACGAATTATGATGAGTAAGAACTTTATTTTGAAAATATTTAAAAAACAAAAATCATTTATTTTTCGATTTTTTCATAGTGAATAAATGGGCATATTTGGGTGTATCACTTCTTGGTACAATTGGTGCTCTATTTGCAACACAAGCTATTGATGATCAACAAAATCCAGGACTTAAATATACAACATGGGCAATATTTAATGGTGCTATGGGTTTAACATTAGCACCTATTTATTTTATGCAACCAGCATTAATTGCTCGTGCTGCTCTCATGACAACTGGTATTGTTGGTTCGATTAGTGCTGTTGGTATGACAGCACGACGTGAACAATATTTATGGTTAGGAGCTCCATTGAGTAAGTTCGAAAAAAAATTGTATTTTTATTTTTTGATCAAAAATATTCGTTTTGTATTTCTAGTGGCTGGTCTTGTTGCTGTATGTCTTGCTTCGATTGGATCTATTGCTTTACCAGCTACAGCTATTCGTACTTTATCTGTACTTGAAAATGTTTCACTTTATGGTGGTCTCGCTGTTTTTTCTGGTTTGGTTTTATGGGATACTCAAAAGATTATTGCACATGCAGAAAATGCTCATTATACAAGACAACAATTATCACCAATTAATGATGCACTTGGAATATATCTTGATTTTATTAATATATTCATCAGAATTCTTACAATTATGGATAATCGTCGACGAAAATAAAAAGATAAATAAGTTATCAATTAATCAAGAAGATTGTATAAGTGGCATATATCTGTTGTATTTTTTCTTCAAATAATAAACTGCTCGTAAAAGAAAACAAATATATATATATATATATATATGCCATAATTGACATAAGGATATGCTAACGAATTGAAAAACAAAAACGTTCTCGAAGCAAAATTTTTTCTTATAATGAGAATAAAGATTTATAAATAATATGATATAATTCACTTGCACAAGAGTTCATTTAAAACAATCCTACATGAAACGCAGCATATAACAAAGTAAGGTGCGAAAAATGTACAATTTCCGCGCACTTTTTTTTGTCTACGATACTTATAGATAGTCAAGTTGAGCGTGTCAAACTGAAAAAGAGCATGTGGGTTTAATACTTCAAGAAAACTTTTTAAGCACAAAAATTCTAAAAGAAATATTATCTTTAAAATCGTAATGCTAATGACCGTTTGATAATCTTAATAATATTTAATTTTTTATTCCATGTGAAAAACTGAATTTAAACACACAGTTTAAGCTGTGTTTTTAGATTTAGTTTTTTTTTATGCAGAACAAAAACAAAATATTATTCAAATTATCAAAGATCATTAGCATAAAGATTTTCAAAATTTAGACGGTCTGCTAAGAGATTTTAAAGATAATATTTCTTTGAGAATTTTCGTCCTTAAAAGTTATTCTCAAAGTATAAAACTCACATGTTCTTGTTCACATCGACAAAGTCCATCTAACCATGTAGAAATAAAAATTGCACTTAAATTTTAAATTTCTTGCACCTGAATGAATAAATATTTTTATATATTTATTTTTATTTTATTAACAAAACACAGTAAGAGATTCTTTCTGTGTATATTTCAGTTTTTTTGTATTGCTCTATCATATTGATTGTACAAGTTATATTTGTTCTTGTAATCAACTTTTGGGATTATACGGCACACAAGATAACTGATTAATTTATAATGATTTATTGTATCATTTTGTAAATATGTATAAATTTGAGTTTTTGCATTCATGCGATTGAATACTATTAACTAAATGTTAAATTTCTATATCATTTTTGTTATTGATTTGTATCTTATTTATAGATATTCGTTGCTATGAAACATACAGCGATTGAACATAAATTATAACGAATTTTTTATTATATCGCTTTTCTTTGATTAGTTTCAATTACATACCGAATGAACACACCTCATTGTGCTATTTAGACTGTTTATAACATCATCTGTCTGTGGTAAAATTGTATTTTGCCATCAGAAGATCGAACGAATGTCGAATTAAATGTTCGAATTCACCTTTTGTCTCTTTTTTTTCTCACTTTTTGTTCTGCTGACTAGTTTGAACGTAATGAACACAAAAGAGAAGGACTAGACATGACGGATGTAAGTATGTTTTGTATTAGTCCAAACGTAGTTGAAGGATATTCCTCGAAAAGAAGGGCATTCTCACTTATTTGCTACTTCCTTAGGTACTTACATTTTTCAAATCGAATTTTTTTCTCAAAATGATACAATAATGTTGCAATTCACTCATATATATGTATATGGATATGAAAATAATATGTTTTAGAAAGAAAAAGGAAGTGTAAAACATGATAAATGTCAATAAGAAAAAAGCAAATAGAGAAATGCGGTTGAAATATGATCTCTAAGTGAGGAAATTTACACTTATCTAGTTTGATATTTATATTTTGATCGAATTAATAATGGTTATCTTATCTCATCATTTGACTCATAGCTATGAGTCAAATGAAAAATGAATATAGCACTTAAAAAAGTTCCCACATGTGTTTACAAGATATCTTATAAATAGCGACCCTTCATTTGGTTTTAACATTTATTCCTTCGATATTTTTTATATAATTTTACAATGTCTACAAAAATATTTTATCTTGGCATTACATTTATGTTTCTTATTCTACTTAGTAATATGTCACACATGGTAGAAGCTCAATATGGTCTTGGACAAGCTTGCAAATGGTTAAAAGGAAAAACAGGCTGGGGTTGTGACGATCAAATAAGTCGTGGCGTTTGGCGTAAACTTAATGGTGTAAGCAGTTGTAATGATTTTTGTCGTAAACGTTCAGGTAGACGAGGTGGTCATTGTGTTTCAAATGGTAACTATGATATAAGTACATGGTGTCCTAGAGGTCAAACATGTCGATGTTATTAGTATATGTTTCGTTTTTTTTTGTTTTAATAATCACTTTTTATTTTTATTTAAATAAACCGAAAAACAACAACTTTTTTTGCTCTATTTATTTTCTCTGTTTTTCATTCTGGATATTTAGATTTTATATTTAACTAGTTTAAAATATAGAAAATAAATATTCGATATAATTTCATAGTAGAAGATATTGTACTTGAAGAATGTTATCAATGTACAAAGCATGATGAAATATTTAATAATATCATAGAATTTTGTATTACTGTAAATGAAGACGATTGATGTTATGTAAACATTGAATAAGTAGTTTTTAAACAGTTGTTTGCTTTAATGACTTATATTAATAAAACATAATATAGTTGTTTTTATAAAGAAATATTTTAATCTATGTTTTTCGATTGATTTAATAATTTCGTTTGTTTTCATTCATTTTAAATCTGACAGACAGTGTACTCAAGTGGTTACGAGGTCTGCCTGCTAAATGAATTCTTGCAGTGAGCAGATTCCCTCTGGGAGCGAAGGTTCGAATCCTTCCACTGTCGCTTTTTTTTATGCAACTAGAAAATTTTTCTATTCTTTTTTTTTTATTCTGTTCAATTTTCCAACCGTGGATTCAGCTTTTTTTATTTAAATATGTAAATTCTAACAAGTAAAAATACACAGAATTATGCAAGATTCTCCTAATGATAATGATTATTTCCCATTCCATAGATACTGAGGGAATGGACCTCTAACATCGCCAGTTTTCGATCACTTTAATTGAAGAAAAAAAGCCCTAATACATACAGGAAAAGCTGGTTTGGCGTTTGTCTAAAACTCAATTTTTGAGTAGAAAAAAAATCGAAGTTTTCCTTCCTTCTCTCCTATACGGTGTGTCCGATTGGGCTCGACTATTTGTTATGAGTGTTGTGGTAAAAGTTAGGTGAGTATGTCTTTCTTTTTTTCTTCAAAATGTTGTTCTTACGAAATTCGGCGACCTTTAAAAATATTAGTACCATTGAAAAAAAAGCACATTTTTTGACAGTTCTTTCAGTGTTTTGCTTCTCTTGAGCTCAACGAACGATATTTTTGAAAGAAAACAAAAACACGCACTCGAATTTGATCCTATTTGTCATAAAAAAATGCAGCTCGAAAAAATAAAGTATAGAGTTTTGCAGAGAGGGTGAATTGACCTTTTTTATACGCATATCTCCCTGAAGGAAGCAATTGGGAATTATGAGTGTAGGACAACTTTTGCTTTACTTATCGAGATCTATCTGCTTCGAAAGTTTCTTAATTCTTCATCGAGGTATTTCTGAAAAACCTCGGAAAGAAGGCGAGAAGGTCCTCTTAAAACCTACTCTCAGATTACTAATTTTTTCAAAAATAAAGGAGCAAGATGAACAACAAGAAGAGCATATGATAAATCATCAACATTGATTTTAAGGAAATTCAACACTCTTCGTCATTCAATCAAATTTAAATCTTTAATTAGGGTATAGTTTCAAGTCATATCAACATTACCAATATCGTCATCACAATTAATTTTTTCTGAAATAATGTTCTAACAAATCAAATATATATTTTTTTTTTCGTGCAAAAATCATATAAAATAACAACAGGAACAAGGTTTAATATAGTAACTATGATGCATATTTATCAACACTAGAACCCTACGGAATTACATTTTTTCGACTCCAACTCCATCGGAGTCCGATGTAGGGTTCTAATCGACATATAGATCTAAAGCTGATTTTATTACTGATGAAATACTTAAATCTAGTTGTCTTCAAGTTTCTTAGACTTTATTTCTCATTGTTTTTTTTAATAAGATCTAAGCGAAAATGAGTTGAAATTAGATATTTTTTGCTTATTTAAAATTGATGAAAAATCAGAAAAAAAAATGGATTAGTTCTTTCCCTCTTGATAAAATCTGTTTAGTCATGAATTTCTAAATCACTACCTTAAAAAGTGTCATTTAGAAA